AAAAGAAAGAAAGAACAAAGAAAGAAAGAAAAAAAGGAAAAAGAAAAAGAGAAAGAAGAAGAAAGAAAGAAGGGGAAAAGAAAAGCAAAAAGGAAAAAGGAAAAAGAAAGAAAAGAAAAAAAGAACACGGAAATGGAAAGAAAGAACAGGAAAGAAAAGAAAGAAAGAGGAAGAACAAAGAAGAAAAGAGGGGAAGAAAGAAAGAAAAAGAAAAAGAGGAAGAAGAAAGAAAGAACAAGAGGGAAGTAAAAAAGAAAGAAAAAAGAAAATAAAGAAAGAAGGACGAAAGATGGAAGAAAGAAAGAAAGAAAAGAAAGAAAGAAAGAAAGAAAGAAAGAAAGAAAGAAAGAAAGAAAGAAGGAAAGAAAGAAAGAAAGAAAGAAAGAAAGAAAGAAAGAAAGAAAGAAGGGAAGAAAGAAAGAAAGAAAGAAAAAGAAAGAAAAGGAAAGAAAAAGAAAGAAAGGAAAGAAAAAGAAAGAGAGGGAAAGAGAGAAAGAGAGAAAGAGAGAAAAGAAAGAAAAAGAGAAATAAAGAGCAAATAACACTGATACAGGAGAAGAAAAGAAAGAGGAATACAAGTCAGAGCCAAAAGAAATTAAATAGCAGAAGAGAGGAGTAAAGAGACATGAGAAAAAATACATTTCAAATTCATTCTTCACATTTTTATACAAAGGTATATAAGACATCAATTTTAAAAGTCATCTACCTCAAAAACAAGAAAATGGGGAAGAACATACCCTGTGCCTACCAACCACAACACACTGAGGATGGTGTGGGAAGTGAGCTGAGGTGCGCTGAGTGTACAGGAGGATTTTGTTGCCCTGAAGGGGAGCCAGCTGTGCAGCATAAATGCTCCATACAACATCACCATTCCAATTGTCTAATCCGAGAATCTGTGTATAATAATAATGATAATATTAATAATAAAAATAATGATATCAATCATAATGATGATAATAACAATAACTGTGACGATTATGAAGAGGGGGAAGGAGAGAGGAGGAGGGGAGGGAGGGGGAGGGGAAGAGGAGGGGAGAGGAGAGGAGAGGAGGAGAGAGGAGAGTGAGAGAGGAGAGGAGGGAGAGGAGGTGAGGAGGAGAGGAGAGGAGAGAGAGGAGGAGGATGGGAGAGGAGAGGAGGAGCGAGGAGGAGAGGGAGGAGGAGAGGAGGAGGAGGAGGAGGAGGAGGAGGAGGAGGAGGAGGAGGAGGAGGAGAGGAGGAGGAGGAGGAGGAGGAGGAGGAGAGGAGGAGAGAGAGGAGGAGGAGAGGAGGTAGAAGAGGAGGAGGAGGAGAAGAGGGAGGAGAAAAAGGAGAAGGAGGAGGAGTGAGAAAAAGGAGGAGGAGGAGGAAGAGGAAGAGAAGGTGGTGGTAGAGGAGTATGAAAGGAGGAGTACATAAGCAAGTGTAAAAAAAGAGAGAGGAATGGAAAGGGAGTGGAGGAACAGAGGAGAAGAGGAGGAGGAGGAAGAGAGAAGAAGAGAAGAGGAAGAGGAGAGAGGAGGAGGGAGGAGGAGGAGGAGGAGGAGGAGGAGGAGGAGGAGGAGGAGGAGGAGAGGAGGGAGGAGAGGAGGGAGGAGGAGGGGAGGAGAGAGGGAGGAGGAGGAGGAGGAGGAGGAGGAAGGAGGAGGAGGAGGAGGAGGAGGAGGAGGAGGAGGAGAGAGGAGGAGGAGGAAGAGGAGGAGGAGGGGGAGGAGAAGGACGAGGAGGAGGAGGAGAAGACGAGGAGGAGGGGGGAGGAGAAGGACGAGGAGGAGGGAGGAGGAGGAGGAGGAGGAGGAGGAGGAGAGAGGAGGAGAGGAGGAAGAGGAGAGGAGAAGGGAGGAGGAGGAGGAGGAGGAGGAGGAGGAGGAGGAGGAGGAGGAGGAGGAGGAGGAGGAGGGAGGAGGAGAGAGGACGACGACGACGACGACGACGACAACGATGACGAGGATGAGGACAAGGACAAGGAGGACAAGGACGAGGACAAGGTGGACGAGGACAAGGAGGACAAGGACGAGGACAAGGACAAGGAGGACAAGGAGGACGAGGACGAGGACAAGGAGGACGACGAGGACAAGGACAAGAGGACGACGAGGACGAGGACAAGGAGGACAATGAGGACCAGGACAAGGAGGAGGTGGACAAGGAGGACAAGGAGGAGGAGAAGGAGGAGGAGAAGGAGGAGGAGAAGAGAGAGGAGGAGGAGGAGAATAAAGAGGAGGAGGAGGAGGAAGAAGAGGAAGAGAAGGAGGAGGAGAAGATGGTGGTAGAGGAGGAATATGAAAGGAGGAGTATAAAAGCGTGTAAAATGAAGAGGAATTGGAAAGGAGGAACAGAGGTAGGAGAAGGAGGAACAGAGGCAGGAGAAGGAGGAACAGAGGGGGAGGAGCGAGAAGAGGAGGAGGAGGAACAGAAGGGGGGAGGAGGAGGAGAAGAGGCAGGAGGAGGAGGATGGCGCCAGAGGGAGGAGGAGGATGACGACTGAGGATGCAGGACAAGGAAGACGACCGAGGACAGAGGACAAGAGGACAGAGGTATGAAGGAATGAGGACGAGGAGGACGAAGGAGAGTGGATGAGGACGAGGACCTGAGGACTAAGGAGGACACGTGGATGAGGATGAGGACGAGGACAAGGACGAGGACGAGGACAAAGACAAGGAGGATGAGGATGAGGACGAGGACAAGGACAAGGAGGAAGAGGATGAGGACGAGGACGAGGACGAGGACAAGGAGGAAGAGGATGAGGACGAGGACGAGGACAAGGAGGAAGAGGATAAGGACGAGGACGAGGACAAGGAGGAGGATGAGGCAAGAGGACGAGGACAAGGACAAGGACGACGAGGATGAGGACGAGGACGAGGACGAACGAGGACAATGACGAGGATGACGAACAACGACGAGGATGACGAACAACGAGGATGGGGACATGGACGGGGACGAGGATAACGACGAGGACAAGGACAAGGACACGGACAGGACGAGGACAAGGACAAAGGACAGAAAACGAGGACAACAACGAGGACGAGGACAAGGACAACGTGAGGACAAGACAACAATGAGGAAAGGGACAGACGTGACAGGGACAACGACAAGACAACAACGAGGAGGACGAGGACAACGAAGAGACAATAACTAGGACGAGGACGGACAAGACGAGGACAAGGAGGACGGACAGACGACAGAGGACAAGATACTAGGACGAGGACGAGGACAATAACTAGGACGAGGACGAGGACGACGGCAATGAGGACGAAGAGACAACTAGGACAAGAGAGGACGGTGGTAGGGAGGAGGACGATGAGGGTAGGAGGACCGGAGAGGGGGACGAAGAGGAGACAGAGGTCGGAGGAAGTGGGGAGGAACGATGGAGGTGGAGACAGGGGGAGGTGGACGAGGAGGAGGAGGAGGAGGAGGAAGAGGGGAGGACAGGAGGAGGAGGAGGCAGAGGACGAGGAGGGAGGACTGAGGAGGAAGGACGAGGACGAAGGAGGAACAAAAAAGGAGATTGAGGACGAAAAAGAGCGAGGACAAGGTCCGGTGAGGACGGAAGGATGGACGAGGAGGAGGAGGGAAAGGAGGAGAGGGGGAAAGGGAGGAGTGGGTACTAGGACGGAGGACTGAGAGGACGGGAAGGGAGAAAGTGAAAGAGGGGGGACGAGGACAACGGACGACCCTTAGAGGGGGAGAGTAGGAGTGAGGACGAGAGGAGACAAGGGAGCAGGGAGGAACGAGATGGAGGACACGAGACAAGAGTGAAGGAGAGAGGAGGACAGGAGGAGGGAGATAAAGAGGAGGAGGAGAGGAGGGAGGAGGAGGAGGAGGAGGACAAGACGGAGAAGAGGGGAGGAAGGAACAAGAAGAGGACAAAGAGGACAGAGGACGAAGGGGCAAGAAGAGGAGGAGGGGGAGGATGAAAGAGGGAGAGGGAGGAGGAGAGAGGGAAAAGGAGAGGAGACAAGGGGGAGGAAGGGGAGGAGGATGGAGGAAGAAGGAGGAGGAGGAGAGGAGGAGGGAAAGAAGAGTGTGCGAAGGGGGAAGAGGGAGCCAGCGGGAGGTGGCGCGAGGAAGAGGGAGGGGGAAGGGAGGGGGTAGCAGGAGGAAGAAGGTGGAGGGAGAAGAAGAGGGGAAGGGGGAGGGGATGGGGAGGAAGAGGGGAAGCGGGGAGGAAGGAGGGGAAGAGTGACGAGAGGAGGAGGAGAGGAGGCACTGCGGAGGAGGAGGGGCGAGGGGAGGGGGAGGGGAAGGGCGTAGAGGGAGGAGGGAGGGAGTGGAGGGACGCTTAGGGAGGGAGGGAGGGATGCGGAGGGAGGGAGGAGGTGATGGGATGGGAGGGAGGAGGAATGGAGGAAGGGACGGGAGGGAGGGGAGGGAGGAGGGAGGGAGGAAGGTGGATGGGTAGGCAGGAGGAAAGAGGGGGAGGCAGGATGGAAAAGAGGGAGGAGGAGGAGGCAGGAGGAGGAGGAGGAGGAGGAGGAGGAGGGAGGAGGAGGAGTGAGGAGGGGAGGTAGGAGGATGGAGAGCGAGGAGGCATTGAATTTGATTTATTACTTTTATCATGCATGAGGGGGAGGAGGAGGACGACAACGACTGAGGACGAGGATGACGAGGAGAGAGGAGGAGGAGGAGGAGGAGAGGAGGAGGAGGAGGATGAGGAGGAATGAGGAGGAGGAGAAAGTAGGAGGAGAAAGAGGAGGAGGAGGAGGGAGAAAGAGAGAAGAGGAGGAGGAGAAAGAGAGGAGAGGAAGGAGGAGGAGGAGGAGGAGGAGGAGGAGGAGGAAGAGGAAGATAAGGAGGAGGAAGAGGAGGAGGAGAAAGAAGAGAAGGGGGGAGGGGTGGAGGGGGAGGGGAGAAGAAGAGGAGAGGAAGAGGAGGAAGAGGAGGAGGAGGAGGAGGAGGAGAGGAGGAGGAGGAGGGAAGAGGAAGAGAAGTTGGAGGAGGAAGAAAAGAGGAGAGGAGGAAAAGAGGAGGAGGAGGAGGAGAAGAGAGGGGAGAAAGAGGAGGAGAAAGAGAGAAAAAGAGGAGGAGAAGAAAGAGGAGGAGAAAGGAGGAGGAAAAAGAGGAGGAGAAAGAGGAGGAGAAAGAAGGAGGAGGAGGAGAAAGAGGAGGAGAAAGAGGAGGAGGAGAAAAAGGAGGAGGAGAAAAAGGAGGAGGAGAAAAGGAGGAGGAGAAAAAGGAGGAGAGAAGAAAGAGGAGGAGACAGAGAAGGGTAAGAGGATAGGAGAGGAGAAAGAGAGTGAGAGGCAAAATAGGAGGAGGAGAAAGAGAGGAGGAGGAGATGGAGGAGAAAGGAGGCAGAGGAGGAAGGAGGGAGATGGAGGAGGAACAGGAGGAGAAAGAAGAGGAGATGGAGGAGAAAGGAGGAGATGGAGGAGGAGGAGGAGATGGGGAGAAAGAGGAGAAAAGAGGAGGAGATGGAGGAGAGAGGAGGAGGAGAGAGAGAAGGAGGAGGAGGAGGAGGAGGAGGAGGAGGAGGAGGAGGAGGAGGAGGAGGAGGAGGAGGAGGAGGAGTATGAAAGAGAGGAGGAGGAGGAGGAGTATGAAAAGGAGGAGGAGGAGAGGAGAGAAGATGAAAGAAGGAGGAGGAGGAGTATGAAAAGAAGGAGGAGGAGGAGGAGGAGGAGGAGGAAAAGAAGGAGGAGGAGTATGAAAAGAAGAAGGAGAAGTATGAAAAGAAGAAAAAGGAGGAGTATGAAAAGAAGAAAAAGGAGGAGTATGATAAGAAGAAGGAGGAGGAGTGTGAAAAGGAGGAGGAGGTGGAGGAGTGAATCTGTTTTACACTTTGTCATGTATGAATATTACCATGAACATGTTAGAATAAAGAAAGAAAAAAGACATCAAGTAATAATATTTTTTACAAATTCATTATCAAAATGAGAAGTCTCATAGAGAAAAGAATATCAATATATTCTTTGTTAGTTTGTTTTTTAATCAAAACTGTTTTGAAATAGTGTTTTTTGTAATATTTAATAATTCTTTATTAAGAAAAAACATCACTTACATATTTACACTTATGTGTGAGCTTAATAAAAAGTGCAAAACTATATATTCTCCCATTTTTGGCTAGTGGCGGCCCACTGTGCAGTAGGGCAAATTATCCCATGATAGACCAGTGCTCCACTGCATGGAAACCATAATAAACTGAAGTAAATATAGTGTACACTTTTATCTGAATAAATCCAAAGCCCAGAGGCATGAGGCAGCCCTTAGAATTTGAAAAAAAGCAGTCCCCACCTTGCCACTGCTCGTCACCACCACCAGCAGCTTGCGCAGATTCAACTGGTCTCGCTCAAGGGTATGCATCACTGCCTGGAAGGAATCTGTGCTCCCAACAAGAGTACTGAACCAATGGGAGATCTGTGAGAACTGGGTCTTAATCCGGTGCACAAAGCTTCCAATCAAACCTGCAATAAAAAAAGGCTCATTCTAATGTAACCTGCTGCCATTACTATTAATAACCATTTACTAGGATTTTCATTGTTTCCACCTTTAAGTCTGAACATTTCCCAGCAATTTAATTACTAACAACTCCTTTTTCCAACTAAGTTATATACACAACACCTCAAAGATATTCAAGGAGATTCTAAAGAAATGTATATCATAAAAAAACAAGAATAATAGTAATAATTTAAATAACATTTATATCAGTAATTCATAAGCACCATGTAAATTATACATCATTCATAATCAATACTCCTACTCTACTTTTTTATATCAAATGCCTTTTTTGCAATTAGAATAAATAGCTACAGGTAACTAATACCTTGAGACATAAACAATAATAGCTTCACTCAAATACATAAACTACAAGTCCCTTACATTTATTTCAGTTCAACATACTCCATCACATCTGGAACATTCCTAAATATCATACAACACTGATAACAATAGCTATAATCCAGTGGTTTCCAAATGTAGAGGTTCAATTTCTACCCTTCATCCACTGGTAATTTTCTTTTTTTATAAACTTACCATGTACAAGCAGGTGTAAGCATCACTTTTCATTTTATATCTAAATACTGTTTTACATACAATTTTTTGGAGGGTAAATATCATCATGAGATTGAATATATTTTGCTAGTTGTAGGTTTTATAAATAATGAGACTAAAGGATTATTTGCTGATAGTTTAGGGTAGCTTGGCTTAATGTTTGGAAACCATTGCAACCAACACTTCGCCTAAATTTTAGTTGATAATAAAATAAGTATTTCCATTATTTTAAAGATAACCTGCCTTAATAACAACATTAAAACATACAATTTCTAATATAATGCAAGCTGTATGCAACATTAACTAGACAGTCACCAATTTCAAGTGGCAATCAAGAAAAAGGACAAGATGAGAAACAAAATTTAATGAAATGAGTGGGCCATAGTAACAAATATATATAGAGAGAGTGATGGGATAAAAGGAAATATGTGAATTATCCTCAAATTCAAACTCCTACATATACAGACATTAACTCCTAAGAAACATCTACAACTTCCAAACATCTACAAAAAGTAAGAGAGAGGGGATCCTTTT